CCATCAACGAGGTAACATAAGAAAGAGCAAATTACAGGAAAATGACAGTACTGGTCCCTAACTATTGGTTTCTGTGCACTTTTTTTTTTTTTTTTTACCTTTAGTTGCAAAATAAAAGATAATTTTCTTCCATTCTTTAAATCACTCTATCCACATGCTTTAAATTGAGGACTTTTTACTTCTACTGAAAAAAGATTAACACTGGGTGACTTGATTAGTTTGTTGGCCTTAATCTGTTTTCTATTAAGCTTAATTTAAATGTTCATTTTGAGCGTTTTAGCATTCTAGAAGTTGCATAACTTCTCCAAAAACTATAATTTTATTTTTAGACATATTTGGCCTAATTTCAGGCAAGAAACTATTTTAGAAATTAGGCCAATCTATGGACAAGATCCTATCGGGTTAAGAAAGGAACATTAGGAAGTTTTGTTGAGGGAAAACCTGATCTGAGACAAAGAAAATCCAAGCTTTGGAAACTAAGCATTTGAACCATGAAGCCACAACTGCGACAAAAGCATAACCGGCACATATGGCAGAAATGAACACCATATACCTGTGAAAAACCATTTCAATACTCTCTTAGGAAAACAAGAAGAAAAAGCAATTAAAAATGCTAGAACATAAAAGAAGGCAAGATTTCTTACTTGAGTCCCAAAAGATTGCTGAACTTTATGGTTCCATAGGTACTGTTTTCCTGGTCATTAGTCACAGTTATCCATATTGTTGCAACACTAAGAGGAACCACAGAAAGCCTCAGAGAGCAATCCAAGAACTTGAGGATTGGGATGTGGGTATTTGGGCTGTTGTTCTCCAGATTGCTTCTCATCTTTCAATGTAGAGCAAAAACCCAAACTCAGGTACAAAAAAAATTGAAACTTTAATGAGAAAATGGGGAAGAAAATGATTAGGAAGATGTTGGATTTATATGATGGGTATTTGGGGTTAGGTAAAACATAATCCTCCTCAGTGTGAAAGGAACGGCTAGAAAGTTGGAAGGGTCTCAGGCGTGGGAAGGAATGTGGGGAGATTTTATTGGAAGGAGTGAGAAGCAGTGGTTCTGCTTTTTCAGATAAGAAATGATGTTACATTATTTTTTTAGGATTATCTTGTGTAAAATTCCATGATTGATTCCATGTCTTATAGATGTGTGGTCTACCCTTTCTTGGCTCTGAAAGAATCAACCAACTAGATTTCGTCTCTCCAAGTGAAAGATTTTGGTGAGCACTTTGACTGTTGTTTTGGATCCATCCTATCCTATACGTACATTTCTAGGGTTCTTCACTCATGTGGCCATAAGACGGACTTAACTACATTGATTCATAAATCTTTTCCCCGGGAAAGCGATGGAAAGAGATCATCAAAGGAGAGAATGATGAAAAAAGGGCAAAATACAGATCAAAAGTTGAAGATATAAGTTGTACATGAAGAAAATGGTAGCACAAATATCGGCACTTATTATGGAGTTGACATACAAAATGCCCCACTGGAAGCAATTGAAGAATGGCTAATTACAAACACTCTCTCACTAGTGCAGCTATTGGGGTCTCTTCCTCCTACAAAATGGAGAAGAAACTTAAGCTGCGTGGTCCTTTCTCCCTCCCGTTTCTATGTTGTCTTACATTTTGAAATTACTTTCATTTGCTGTATACAAACTGCTCGAACCAGCTCAAGAAATTTGGGTGTTTCCTCTCTTTTTTGGCCCACCTACATGCATCCCCCTGAGTTTGGAGGCAACATTGTTTTTCAAAAAACTGCATGCCATAGTGAATGCTCACCCTCTCCACACCTCTGGTGAACATCCTTCATCCTCTCAACTGATTTGCAGATCCCATTGCAGGTCCAATCGAATGAGGCGACACAGACATTCCCTGCCTGAGCCTTCCACTCACAATCTGCAGTCAATATTTGGTAGTATCAAACAAATAATCAAAATTATTCTTGCTGGATAATATCAAGTACTTCTAGTATCAACAGTTAATGATTATAATAAAATAAGAATCTTGATGGGAACACATTATCCTTGTCCAAAATGATTATAATTTACGTCTCTTACGATCTTAAGATCACACCCTTACATTAACTTAATGTATTTAAAAAAATTAATTTTTTTGAGTGACTTAAATTCGAGATATAACCTATAAAGCAATATTTACTTCCTAGTGAATCCAACTTACAATTTTCTATGACATTCTTGCTCCAAAATGCATCTTGAGGTACAAGAAGAAGCAGAATCTAACAAGAGCCACAGTGCAAGTACTGGGCCTGGGTGAATTAGCATATCTTCGACTTCACGGATGAGACTTGAGAGAGGATGTGGATATTAAGATTGGGCTTTACTTCGGCCCTATAAGAGAATCCGCTATGCGGGTTGAAATAAAAAAAATAAGATAGAATAAAATAATCGAAACGTCACTTCCACTCTCCTATCTCCTCACCCTCCCGCTCTCATTTCCTTTCACCCTTTCGCTGTTCCTGCATTCGGCGTCGGTGGGAGGGCTGGACGGCACCGGTTGAGGCTCTAGTTACTGTGCAGCCGCGTCGATCCAACTTTGGGGCCAAGAAATTTGGAAAGCGCTCTTTTTTCACGACGCGTTTTTTGCCGGTTCCGGCGCCGTCGCTCTTTGGATTGACGCTCCCATGGTGGCGAACGGTGCCTTGAGGACAGATCCGGCACTGTGACGAGTAGGATCGGTCTCCTACGGCGTCGACTGGTGCCTGGAGGAAAGATCCTGTCTCCTTGACGTGCTTATCACTTTAGGCTCCGATTGACTCTTCCATGATGACTACCGTTGAACTGGAAAATAGATCCGGCATCGTGCGAAATCTGATACAAATAGAGCACCGAAGTGGCGCTATGTTTCCTACTATTACACAGCGGCCGTCATTGTTCTACTGGCCAACCGGTGTTTCTACGAAGCAGTGGCCGTACCGCCGTACCGCCGTACCTTGGATCCGCGGCATCCGTCCTTTTGAATTTTAAAGGGAGGGCATGCACTCAGAATTCAAACCACAATGAGGCGTTTTGGAGGTTTTGGCACCTAGGTAGAGTTGATACGGAGAGGTAATTCGTTAATCTTTATATTTTTCTTTTATGCTTTCAAAGAGGCAAGATTCTATCTCTTTCGCACATTTTTGGGAACTACTTTAGTTAAAAGACTATCATTCTCTGTACTATTGTGTTTACATCATAAATTGCAAAATTTTAATTAATGTCACGTGTAAAATTTTTATTGACCGGAGGAGTTTAAGTCATGTCAGATTTGGATTCTAGGTCCCATGACAGATCAGTACATGAGTTGACAAGATAGGAAAGGTAAAGATAAAGATAATATTTTATGGAGTAATTATTTTCTTGAAACAGAAGAGATAATGGCAGCTGGAAAATAGGAGAGGATCACAGTTAAAAAGGAGATTTTATCTAATAAAGTACAGGTGGCGAAATCTGAAAGAAGATTAGACTAGATTAAAAGATGAGGTGTCTCACTATTCCAACAAACTACCCATGATTGAGTAACTGCCGGCACAAGAGGAATAAAAAGGAAATTTTGGCAAGAGGAACACACGGTCAGCCCTACTCAAACATTAGCAAATTTTCATACTTTGATTTTCTCTGCACATGCTTCCAGATTTTGGTTTTCAGCACAGATTTCGTATTCTAGCACAGATTTCATTAAAATTTGGTTGTTTTTCATCATTTCAGTAGACAAATTATTTCCTATATTCAGTTAAACAATTTCCTTTCATGCAATGAACTTCAATCCTTCAAGTTTATGCAAGGTATTGTTTTCTTTTCATTTGTAATTAATTTAATGTTTATGTTAAGTAGCATTGCTTCAATGATTACTTATGTGGCTTTCATGCTTCTTCCAATTTCAAGTTCTTCAATTTCTTTACAATTCACGTCTAATTTAAGTGCTAATTAGGGTTAAAGTTACAGTTCTGCAGCAATTTAACTTTTAAATCTGTCAATAGATAGCATTTTAATTTTACTTTAAGCATGTTTAATTTAATTTGGGTACAGCTTTTTCTCGCAAAATTACTTTAAATTGCAGGCAATTTAGAATAATTAGGATTTGTTAATTTTAAGTCACGATAGTGTTTAAGTCCTTGGAGTTGTCTAAGGTAGATTTTGTAACCCATTCTGTAGGAAGGCATCCCTCCCTCTTGCAAATCGTCTGAAGGCGTAATTTCAATTTTAATCCAACGTTCTTCCCGCCATCTGCGAAGAGGTCGACCGTGAGGAAGGAGAGGGTCGTTGGGAAAGTCCTCCTTTCTTACTTTCAGCAAAGTAAGTGGCACGCCCGCATCCAAATTTCACACGTGCGAGGCCACTAGAGGATTTTTTAGGAAACAATCCTTTTTTGGCACGCCTGGTGGGACATCATCGTGTCTTACTTACAGTTTTCAGATCCGTTGTTCTTTTTTCCAAGAAAAAGTGCAATTATGCCACCAAAAAGAAACCTTGGGAAGGCTGTCCAAACTTTACAGATTGGGCTTGGTGAAGGCAGTCCAACACACTCAGAAGGAGAGAATGAGCCAATCATTCCACCACCATTGTCACCAATACTGAGGGAGCATTCTTTTGTCAATCCTACCTTCAACAAGGGTAGTAAATTTGGAGATGATGTTGCTCAATCTGGTGATTCTCTTGTGAAAGCTGTGTCAGATCAGATTAGCATCATGAGGCACACATTGATGGAATCTGAGGAGAAAGCTCGACAAAGAAGCCAAGAGGTTTCTATACAGTTGGATGAGTCTTTTCAGAATCTGGCTCAGAATTTGGCTCAAAGTGTAGCCCAAAGTGTAGCCGACATGCGGCGATCCAATGAAGAAAGTAACAGAATTTGGCGCGAGCAAAATGCAAAAAATTGGAGAGCTTTTCAAGCTGAAACGGAATGAATGCATGAGGCATTTCGACGTATCAGAATTGAGCCTCAGCCATAGGCAGCAGATCTTCAAAGGCAGAATCAGAATATTCCAACTCCAGCACTCGGGGGGCAAGTTAATCTGCCACAGCCACCTCCCCAGATTCAGCAGGTAGCAGGCGGACCAGTGCAGCCAGATCCTGTTGAGGCTGCACCACGTGTGGCAGATCTGGGAAATCACCAGAATCCCAGATATCTGCCACCTCCTCGCTGACCAAATGGAGGACATCAACAACATAATGCACCTCCACCAAGGGAGCATTTTCAGCCTTATGTGCCACCCGTGCAGCAAAATCTTCCAAATCTGCCAGGACAGTACATCAATCGTGATCAAATCATCGACATGGTGCAGGAGGCTTATGGTCCAGTTTTGAGGCCTCTTGTCAGACCTGCTTACAAAAAACCATATCCAGATTTCATAGACCAAGAGAATCCTTTTCCAAGAGGGTTCAAAGTTCCAGAATTCACTCTATTTTCTGGAGATGGTGGATATTCTACAATTGAACACATAGGTCGCTTCACAATTCAGTGTGGCGAGGCCTCCAGTGATGATAATCTGAAACTCAGACTTTTTCCTATCTCATTAACTAGTACAGCTCTCACCTGGTATCTAAGTCTGCCACAGAATTCTGTTTATACTTGAAGGCAGATGGAAGATCTTTTTCACATCCAGTTCTACCGTAGTGAGCCAGAAGTGTCTATGGCAGATTTATCTCGTATGGTGCAGCGACCTGGAGAAACATCTGAGGCATTTTTGGCTAGATTTCGAAAGGCCAGACTTAAGTGCAGAGTTGCCTTGCCAGAACAGGAATTTGTTAAGCTGGCACAAAATGTTCTGGACATTGAATTGAGGAAAAAGTTTGAGGGAATGGAGTTTCGTGATTTCTTTGAGTTGTCTTACAAGGTGGCTCGTTATGAAAATCTATTGCGAGAGGACACACAAAGGAAATCTGCATCTCATGAGACTTATTATGGTGATGCTAACTTCGATCTGGACGTGGCAGAAGTGGTGGCAGACAAGCCAGTTGTTTGCCCAGATTTGGTTAAAGTGGTCCAGCAGACCGACAAAACAGTAAAACGTTATGTCGGAGAGGCTGGAAAACAATACACCTTTGACATTTCAAAAACTAATGAAATTTTTGACCACCTTAAAAAGAGTGGTCTAATTAAGTTGCCGCCGGGACATAAAATCCCAATGGCTGGCGAAATTGGCAATAGAGAATATTGCAAATATTACAATTCTTGGAAACATTCCACTAAGGTTAAATACCCTTTTTGGTCCCTCTACTATAGGAAAAAGCCCATTTTTAGTCCCTGTACCGAAAAAATCCCTTTTTTAGTCTTTACTGTTCA